CTGTTTGGCTCCTCACAGTTTATATAACTGAAGATATAATAAGATGTGAATGAGGCCTCTTCCTAGAAGTACTTCTAGGTTGGTTAAGTTACACATTCTTCAATTCTAAAGTGAGCAATACAGACTCTTAGAAAGCATTTTCCCTTTATGTTTAAGGCTGAAAAACAGCATGGTCCAGTTCAATAAGCTTCATATCCACATTAGTCTTTTGACATATAAAAATATACATGTGTATATGTGTGTGTGTACACACACACACTTTTAATTTCTGCCACTATCTACATCTAAACAGCTCATTTTAAATTGGCAGGAAGTACCTCTGCTAACCCAAAGAGTCACCCTTCCCCTCTAAGCCAAGTGGTTACCCTTCTCCCTTACGTCACACATGGTTCAAATATAACAAATGTGGCTCACCACACAATGTTAAAATGCATCTTTCGGAAACAAACCAAATCTCTATAGTAGCAAATGTAAACAGAAAAACTCTAGGCAGTAGGAGTTTCATGTTCAGTGGGGGCCTGGCTAGGGAATGGCTGAATTTTAGAGTTTAAACAAATGCAGTGAGTTAAGCATCTCTAGTCGAGGCATATCACAGAAGCCAAGTTTGTTAAAGGGACCTTGTATATGGAAACCCAAGCCACGTGTTTAATGGTTCTTAATAAGAACTATTTGATCATCTTGGTCATTTATTCTGATATTTGTCTCATTTATTCCATTATACTCACAAGTAAGCATGTTATTAGGTATTAGTTTATAGAAAGCCCAAGGCACATAATTATAAATGTTAAGATTAGGCATAAACAAGGCTATGGGTTACATTAATGCAGCTGCAGTCGATAAGCTTTATTCACAATTCGGTGAGCAAATCCAGGCAGAGCTCACGTTCCACTGGGGCAATGAGGTCCCAAAACACATCATGAGGTCTATCACTGGAAATCAGATCACACTATGTTGCTGCTCCATCCATTTGCATGTTAATGGTTTGAGGTATCATCCTATGCTGCTGCTCCATCCATTTACATGTTAATGGTTTGAGGTATCATCCTTGCTGCCCAAGTCAGTCACTTGCTGGACACTCAATCTACTTCCTAAAATATTGCAGGTATCTGTCCATGTTTCTCTATCTACACTGCCACTTCCCCAGTTTAAAATGCCATCTCCTCTCCCTTAGACCACTGCATCAGCCTTCTATTCCATCTCCCAGGTTCTAGGCTCACAATACTCTAATCTAGTTAGAACATTACAACTGGAATAATCTTTACAGTACATTCTAGGCAGAAATAGTGATAAGGGAAGAGGCATAAGGAAAGAATGAATGACCTTAGCCTTTGTAGGAACAAAAGAAAGTGAGCATGACCAGTGACACAGAGAGAGAAAAGTGACAGGAGCTGGAGAGGTATGCAGAGGCCCTCCTTAAAACCCTCAGAGATCCCTGTTTGCCCCTCAGGGTAAAGTCCAAACCCTCTTACGTGCTACACAAGGCTCTGCGCTAGCTGTGCTGGTCCCCTTCTCCTCTCCCATCAGGATGACCTTTTTATCCCTGGGATCACATTCTAGATAAAGGTCAAAATAAATTATAGTATATTTATAAGTTTCCCAGCTACCCATTGCTCTCTGGCCTCTGGACTTTTGTACATGCTATTCCCTCTGCTTAGAATACTCTTCCCTGCTTTTTTTTTTCCTTCTTCTTCTTTATTTGTGTGTGTATGTTTTCTTTATTATTATGTTTTACTCATCCCTACTTAAGATTGCAGCCTGAGCATCATTTCCCCTGGGAAGCCCCATGGCCCTCCCATCATCCCCCCACCCCACAAAAAAAGATGAGATGCCTCTGCTGTGTAGTTCTGTAGCAGATTATGCTGAACTTGATTCTGAACACCTGTTTATATGTCTCTCTCCACAATTAGCCATGAATAAGTTAAGGGTAGGACTCTATCTTCCACACACCATTGTGTTACCAGGCTCTGGCATGGTCTCAGTCACACAGTTGGTGCTCTAAAACTGTGTGCTAAAACAAACACGTTCAACGTCATCAGCTAAAATCATGACATGATTGGGAAAAGGTAGTTTTCAGGCAGCAGTGAATGAAGAGAGCAGAGTAGAAAGGAAAAGCAGAGCTGATTTGCATAACAAAGTCCACTTAAAGTGAGTAACCATTGGTTTTAAGTCCTGACTGCTTACTGTCTTTTGGCTATAAAGAAACACCAGTATAGATAACTGAGTTTTCCATAAAAGTTAACTTTAAAACTTAAAAGTTTTAAATTTATTATTTTGGATGGAACCTTTCGAAAATGCATTAGCTATTTTCTTAAAAAACAACAAACAAACTTAGTTTAACCTACTTTAACTTTTTCTTGGTGGCTTGAGGTCACCAAATGGCCCAGACTAGTGTGCTTTTTTAATATTCTTGTGTCTGACTTCAACATTTAATCTGTCTCTCTGGTTACTGTCGAGGCTACTGAAACCTCAGAACATGGGAAATGAAAGAAGTCTTTGAGAGTACTTACTTCTTGCCGCTGTCAGTGCCCGCAGTCTTTGCTTATCTTTTTAATTTGCTGCTTCTTAGACTTAGAAGAAAAACTATTGAGAGTATTAGAATTGTGTGAAAAATAAGAATAGTTTCTAAAAGAAGGAGGGCTTTTATGCTCCCCACCTGCTGCCATACATATTACATATAGCTCAGGAGTTGTTTCTGCCTGCTCGCTTTCTAGTACTTGGCACTATTTTGAAGGGCACCAGTACTACCTTCATCTGTCCAGAAGCAGCCAACATTGTGCAGCAGTCACAACCATGGACTTTGGAATCAGACAGACCCCAGGGTGAATTCTGGCCCCTTTACCACAGCCTTTCTAAGTTCAGCTTTATCAACATTGGAATGAGGAACAATACAAGCCTCAAAGGGTTCTTCTGAGAATCGAGATAATGTAAATAAAATAAACACCACAAGACCTGGCAAGATAGTATGTGCTGAATAAATAGTGTTTATTATCATTATATGGAATAAAGGCTTTCATCATTCACCACACAAACAGGAACAACTTGCTTAGCAGTAGAAAAGTAAAACAGCATTGAATTAAAAGACAAATATCAAAGGCAGCCCACCTCAAAAAACTGGGTTTGAGTCCAGATATTCAAATGTTAATCTCTCACATCTGGCTAGCATACAATGCACTTTCACGTAAACATCTTGCATAAAACTCATAGCCCTTTCTGAAAGGCAGGCCAGATGATGTTATTCCTATGTGACAGAGAAGGAATCAGT